ATATATAGTAAAATTTTCGATTTTGTTTACTGTCTAGTTTTTAACAGTTTTATATAGCAGTTTTCAGTGTCGATAAAAATTGTAGAATATATTTTGTTTCGATAGGTTTCCTATATTTTTGCATCATTGTGTCAGTTAGAGTTCACATTTCTTGGACTGCAATTTGTGGTACTTTTTGTAGGGAAATGAGTTTAAAAGTGAAAGATTAGAAGACCAAAGAGATTTAAATCAATATCGTGACTCAACAAGATCTTCTTCCTCGGAAGAGAAAGAGCAAGAAAATCACAAAGTAGCCATCTATGTACGCAGTCGTGATGAATCTCCTAATACGAAGAAGGTTTGTGAAGAAAAATCTATGCATAGTCATGCAGTGGGATTAAATTTCTTTAAAAAAAATTAATCTTCCTCACTTGCTTATCATGTAGTTTTCAAAAAAACCAAAGCAAGAAGTTTAATAAATATAAAAAATGGCAAATATAAAAAATGATTTGCAAATAATCTTTTTCATAGAGATGTAAGGAAATATATTGTTTTATGAGATAATTTTGTGCAAAGAAATGAATTATCTGCATTACTTTGGTTTGAAAATGGGCAATGAAATCTTTTCATAGAATAAAACATTCTCACTGTTAAATGAATACTTTCATTTCATTGTTACCGAAAATAATGTTTCCAATTCAGTATACAGTATACCGTTGAAATTTACATGCGCTGTAATATATCTATAAACTTTTTTTAATATTTAATAGTTCCCTTTTTCTGCTTTATTACTTATTTTCAGTGACAACTTTTGAGTTTTTTCAAATTATTATTAAAATTATTAACTGTTGACTTTTTATCGCACTGCTAGATTTTGTGGAATTAATAGCAATAGATCTAATTTGTATCATTGCTTCCTGTTCGGAGAACCTTATACCTATTGAACTTTTTTCTTTTTTCGGTGCTTGAGGTTTGTAAGTTATTATCGAAATGTTTACTTATAATTTATAGTTGGGTATTATTGACAAAATGTCTACATCAAACCGAAGGGTATATGTGTGTTTTGATACATTATTCCTTCAGGAACGGAAACGGCTGGTAAAAGAAGAGAAACGCGCCAACCGATTAACCAAGATACCGAAGCATATCAAGAAGCGTCACAATAAGGCCAATAAGTGTCGATAATAGTGTTGCTAGTGGACAAAATATAGTGGACTGGAGCGCTGTGATTCATTCATCGAGGAGTGCAGAATTTAATTTCTTCCTGCGATATTGTCAAGTTCAAGTAGTACTGTTTTTTGTTTATGCATTTCGGCAGAGACAGCACCGTTTCGTCATAACTTGCGAACACTCCTTTAATCTTAAGTGTTCATATTGCTTTTTCAATATTTTGAACCTTTCAAATCTTTTTCAGAAATTTTAAAATTCTTCAAAAATGGTCTCAAATGTATTTATTTGATATATAGAAAAATATTTCGAAAACACGTTATTTAGATATTCCATTTTTAATTAAACGATTTTTTATCTTAATCTTTCCTTTGACCTATTACTAGTTTTCAAAATAACATGAAGTATGGAATTTTAGCATCAAGTTGATTAAATTTCTGTGTTAAATGTAGTACAAACTGCTTCTTTTCAAAAGTTTGTAAAGTGCAGTTAGTTAAAGCTTGTGATCATTATTGTTATTGTTAATAAATGAATTATGTCATCAAGAAATGATACAAATTTTTGAAGTCTAAAAGTATTTAACGATAATAACAGAATTACGACAGAAAATATTAATTGCAGAAAATATTAAAAATATTAATTAGGAATATTTGCATCAGCTCCACTACCAATTTTCTTTAGTCTTTCTTATAAGAATAATGTCGAAAAGGTGGAGTTGTGGATTCGAGATAGGAGACAGACATACCATCCTCAGTAAGGGTAACTTCTTTTCATTGGTAATTAGCAAAGCGAAACAGATTCGGCATTTTGCAAGGACACGCTTTCTAACTTTCTACTAGTTTTGTGTGTAATTCATTAGAAAAGTGACAAGTAATGGTGTACTTGTCATATAAAATGACCTTGCCTTTTCATTTGGTCAACGTCAGTATCGATCCAATTCGTACATGTTAAAATAAAGTCATCTTTGGGATACTAAATGATTAAAGTGTTCTAAACATACTGCACGTTTAATTTCACATCATCCACTAAGATCGATAATTTTATATCGTTCAATTTCACATCCTTAGATCTAATTTCACATTATTCACGAGCATTTAACTCAATTTCAACATCCATCTTTCATCCTTTATTGATCTCATCAATTCAGTCTTAACACTAACTGCAATATCCGTCCTAATAGGTCACTTCATTATGCCTTATACATCTGATACATGCTTCAACAATCTGACGGAATACTCCTATGGTGTGTGGATCGAATATCTCTCTGAACCATTTCTCTCTCTTTTCCTCTCTTTCTCTCCCTCTCTATTCTTCATCTCACTACCATGGAAAAGAGTTTCCCTAACTTTTGTTCGTGATTCTTGCTTCACACCCACTTTCTTCCTTTCCCACTGTACGAAAATCCTGATGAACTTATCATTTACGAGTACGTCTTATCAGGTGTGAATTGTCTAGTTCAACTGAATTTCAATCCTACTTCTAATCGACTTTTACAAGGTATTAAGTGGTAATGTGAAAATAATGATTTAAATAATAATTTAATTTAAATAATAACTTAATACAATCTAAGTTCTGTCCTAATAACTCCGTCTGCTTTAGTTTAGTTTTGTTCTGTCTTCCAATAGCGAAACAGCAGGAACTGAACGTTGACACATCCAGGTGGACGAATGATAAAAAGAGAATTCGTTTTAAATTCGGTAGCAAGAATTTTTGTGAATTTATTTTTCAGTCATTCAATGATCTGAAAACAATAATGGATAGCCATGTATTGCATAAATATGAGAAAGGAAGAGAATAACGTATCATTCAGATTTCCATAGCGATTTAGAAAGGAATTAATTGAAATTAAGAATTATTAAGCTCTCATAGATTAGCGTATGATTAAAGAGATAAGGGGAAGTTTTCATCTTTCTACTCTAAATTAAACTATCGTACCAATATAAAATTATCCGGAAATGTGATAATATTACTCCTTTCATTTCTCTTATCGATTACTTATCATTTGATGACATTTCTTCCGCTCATTTTAATTTACAGTTATCTAAACATTCGAAAAACATTTGTTTCAGGATGCTTAAAAGATATTTTATGATGAAAAAAAAATGATAAAATTGACAATTCTTCTTAATAAGGCAACATTTTAACAATAATAGGAGTGAGTGAACGAAGAAAGAAATGAATATGAGAGAGATTAGTGAAAGGCTTTCTCAACTAACAATTGATTTTAAGGTCTAGCTTAGGTAGACTAGACTAGGCTTTTTTCTTTTCATTTTTCTGGTGTAACGTTGTCATGGTAGCATTCCTATTACTATTTCCTCTAATCATTACATTTCATACATATATGACTTATTAACTATGCCTTAGTTTTTGTCCTATAATTAACCAAAAATCATTGAATGTTTCCTGCTGCTATTACATAACATTATATATTTGTTCCACATAACTTTTTTCTTCTTCGCTCATCCTAATTCTTATGTTCACTGATCTTTTATTGTTTTAGTGAATCACTAAATATAATAATAGTTTTTTGAATGGAAGCGTTTTGAGAGTATTAGTTTTTTAGGAGAAGAAGAATCAATTGGATTTTTGAAGTTTTAAACTGAGAATGGATGATGATATAGAAAGGCCTATATAAAGTGAACAGTTTTTAGTTATACCATATGATCCTTTCTCTTATCAAATTCTATAATTTCTATCTCCCTGTTAATTAATTGTTTTTAAATTATTATTCTAATTTTGCTAATTTACTTAATCATTTCATTTTTTTCTTTTTCTTTTCCCTTTCTTCATTAACATTTTTCATCCATAGAATTTCATCATACTTTCATCATTAATTGATGTCAACATAAAAACATTTGAACGAGAGGAAGAGAGGCAGAGAGAGAAAGAGAAAGGGAGAGAAATTGTTTTTTAGAATTGGAAATGCAATTGATGAATTAATATCAATTTATCTCATTTTATTGGAATTGAAGCATAATGGAACGAGTTGAATTATGAAATGAAATAAAGAGTTTGGAAATTTCCAAAAAAATTTAAGAAATAGGATAAAATTGATGATACATGTGGTTGGTTGGTTGGTTGGTTAATTGATTTGATCTTTTATTCGTTATTCTTAAAGAGTGGATTATTTGATTATTTGTCATAATTTTGATAATATCACCCTATCTCTTCCATCTTCCCTCCTTATTTTTATTTTCAAAGAGAGTAAGAAGAGTTTGAGCCAGTTCTTGAAGAGTTTGAAAGTATGATGTTTGTGTTGTTTTGTTTCGTTTGCGACGGGTGTATACAGCATTTTCTTTCTCCTCTTGCACTTACTACTAAACTCTCTTTCATTCTGCTTGCCATCACCGCTATAGTAACAAAGAGAGAGAGAGAATTCTCTGCTTTAAAAACTTGAAAAGTTGGTGTATATAGCCAATGAGTTAATAACTAACTATTTCATTGAATAAATTGCTTTAGTTTCACAATTAATCATCGAATTTGTATGAAAAGTGAAGATTAGTGGAAGCCTTATTAGGCTCGAAAATGGGTTAGGCTAGCCTTTTTTTTTTAAATTCTCTGTCTCCAATCAATTTATGCCATCAATTATTGAAATCAGCGATCTGAAGATCACTCGATATTATTTTTGTAATATTTCTCGCTAAAGGTAGCTAGCATCTTAGAGCTATGCTCGAATGAGATTTAGAGTTTTGTCATAATAGGTAGGATGTGCGATTGTTTACTGAGAACTTGGTAAACAAAATGATTGCATTCTCCATAATGTTAACTCGTTACAGGAATTTCTCAAATGTTTTGCTTACTGGAACTGGTTTTGTTTGTTCAGGAAAATTACCTCATTTTAAGGGAATAGTGATAGACTTTCATAGCCGGATGCAGAAACCTGTTTACTGTGATGTGACGTAATGGAGCTGTATCAGATGACTATAGTTTACTAAACCCTAGAGAGTTGTTTTATCCATATACTTTTTAAGTAACAGTTATGATATGAAATCCACCTGATCTTTAAATCATTAGATGTCGAGGTAGAAAATTATGTAAGATCAAATATAAGCAAGTTTCCTTTTATTTTCGGGAAATTTGTTAGAACGGCATTGTAGTCAATAACCATTATAAAATATATTTCGGTTTATTAAGCAATTACGAGGATTAAATCATTCTATGGTTTACTTTACATTTTGAGAGGTTATTGTTAGATGTTTTTGTGATTTTGTAAGCTGCAAGAAAGTCTTCAATAGCATCATTTTTTGACCTCTGTCTTGTTAGGAATACAGTCAGCATATGAAAGTGTTGACTGATTGTTCATTGAGGTGTAAAAGTTGTCTTGATTGAAAGATCGACTGCGAAAAGCGAAAAAAGAATGACGGGGAAATGGAAGATCAACTCGGGGACGATGATGTAATTCATTGTTGCAGTATATCAGTGATGAATGACATATATCAGCACTACGTGATGATTGTGAGATTGAGATTTGACATATTGTTGAAACATTTCTGTGGCTGGTTGCTAAATTGAGGTATTTCATGAAACAAAAATGTATTTTTTTTCTAATACTTCACCGGGGAAGATAGGAAGAATTATAAATTACAGAATTAAATAACTATTTTTATTTCATCTAAATCTATTTTCATCAAATTTGTCGTTTACTTTTTTATGTGAAAGATGGTATATTTTCAGATTACTATGTATGTTTCTATGTTGCTATTCATTCGACATCCTCAGCTATTCTGATGGTATTATATTTGTGAAACATTTGGCGCAACTATTGATTAATTAACTTCTGAACAAGGAACATTGTGAAAATATTTTAGATTAGGTGCATTTATTGCTTTTGATTTTACACAATTTTATATTCCCAAAGCCTTTCTAAGTTTACTGAAGCTTCTTATCGAGAGCTATTGCCCGTTTGTATTTTCGTTCATCATCTATATCAGCTTACATAATAAAGAAGGCTATCGCTAATTGCATAATTAATTTCCTTAAGGAACTGTTTAACTTAATTGTATTATCATGTTGCTACGTTTATGCTAAAATATCGGAGTAGTTAGATAAGAGATCTTGTTCACAATTAGAGTAGAAAGGTACTACTGTCAGTTCAGTTTTATATTCTAATGTAAAATTGTGTTTCCTAAATTATGCTATGTTTCCACACAAGAAGGAGGAAAAAAAATCCAAAAGTGGCATTCCATCTTGTCAATTCTTCATCACATAGTTAAATACATTTGTCATCTTCTGTCCTTTCCATCTCGTACTCTTCTTAACACTTTTTTTTCTTCTCAAATTTCTCTCCATTCTAATTGTTCTGCACAATTTCGTCATTTAGTATTATTTACGAAGTATTAGCACGGCAAGATGTATTCTATAAAGTGTTCTGTTATATAACACATTTCCGGTGCGTTACAATCACGGTTGTATGAAGCGGAAAGTTTGTAGTGACGGTATGTTAATTCGCGTATTTGATTACTTTTATTTACGCAAATCGTTTTTAATTTTGCATTCAATTCTGCAGTGAAAATTTTCCTCGTTTATCCTCGAAAAAGGAGCACTTATTTCTTCTTTTAACAATTTATTTGCCAATAATTGAATGGCATTCCTTGATGAGCTCGAAATGATATTTTTAATTTTTTTTTGTTGAAATTTATCGAATTTCTAATGTAAATCCCTGTTGATCACTTTCTCCATTACTATTGTGTCTTGGAAGATGAGAAATTGTATCGAAGCATGAGATAAATTATAAAATATTAAATTACATCATTCTCAATCATCTATCATCTGACTATACCTTGATATATTTTCTCAATGTTTTGTGATGAAAGAGACATAATTGTAAAATATCTCTCTTTTTTGCATTGAGTGACTTTTTTGGATATAATTGAAACATTTGATTGTTTCCTTACAATTCTAATCGATTTTCCGCATATCAATGAATATTTTGACAGTTTTTGTTGTCATATGTTATCGTAATAGCTTTTTAAGCTATGATTCTTATTTTGTTATATCTATATTTATTCTTTTGAAACAAAGAATGATGAATTTATCTGAATAATAGTGTCTTATAATTTTATCACATGGAAATTTAAGTTAATAGGTGCCACTACATTCTAATGATTTTCGATCATTTTTCTTTTAAATTAGATGCTGCTTATTGCAGTACACATGGCAATTTATTTTGTAGGGTATGGAATGAAAAAGGAAAATTGAGTTGCTGTCTCTCGCAAGGTACCAGTGCTTTTCGTTCGTTTTAATGCAGAAAGGTTCAAATTATATAGTAATATAGTAATGCGTGTTTGTCAATATTATTTACTACAACCGTTATAATTCTAAATGTTTCATATATTTTTGCAAGCTAATTAAATTATTTCAAAGTTGACTGCATTCTTAATAGTTGAAATAGATCTATGGAATATTTTTCCAAATATATAATAAATATTTTGTCTAACATTTTTGTTCCTTTTCCTGTTGTACGTTGTTTTTCATTGTAACCATTGACAATATTATGTCAAAACGAAGTCATTTAAATTTACCAAGAGATATTGTGCATACTGTTGGAATTATTATTTGTTGAGGAAGTTTAACAGTTCTCTTTGTGTTATCATGCGGATGCAAGCTCAATTTCCAAGAAGAACCTGTGTTTGGCTACAACGAATATGTTTTATATAGGCTACAACGGATATGTTTTATCCGATCAATAGTTGTTTGGTGTTATCGTTTCATGTTAAAATCAACGATTAGAATGGATCGGTTATTTATAATTAACAGTCACTGCTCAGATATTTTAAACAAACATAAAAGTCACATCGTTATAAATTACTTGTAGTAATGGTTTGTAGATTAGGTATTGTCTGTTCGTATGTATATTCGCTAGTAAATTAATTTTAGGGCAAATGAGAGATGGGTGATGCTGTTCGGAACGCAGCAATGAGTCGCTCAGGCTATATGGGTTCAGCTCGGAAAGACAATGCTGAAGAAGTGGCTAAACGACGGGCAGCTATACAACAAGAAATCGAACAGAGGTTTTTTTTTTTCGCAGGGTTTGTAGGGAATTGGCATCTCTGAATGAGAGATTTGTTAACTCTGTAGGACAGCGTTTTTAATCATTGTTTCGGATTTTAGTGTTTATTAATTTTAACTGAAATTGAGTGGAACTATGGTTAAATTCAATTAATGATTAAAATTAGTTCAGCTTTATATGCAAGTTTTGTGTCGTTTTTTTTGTTCTAAACTGGATTGTGCACTCTAACACTGTAGGGCTAGTGATGTTATCTTTATCTGCATAAGAAACAAACTTGAGCGATGCTTGGAATTGACGTTTTAAATGTGTCCGAATACTCTAGCAGCAATATTTTTAATCTTAGAAATTGTAGTTAATACATAAGATTAACGCATTTTCTCAAAAAATTCGGAAGAAAATTTTGCTGTATAATTGTAATATATTTTCTGTGTCGGTCATTTATACAAAGCAGCAGGAAACGAATAATTTATCGAGAATGAGTGTATGAACGATATAATTCTATTCACATCATTGTTTTATAGGCAGAAATTGGCAAGAAAACTGCAAGATGAAAAAATGGCTCGAGCTGTCGCTCAAAAAGAAGGGGTAGGCTTGTGTGCTAACACATATATTTTAGTGTTTTCTCATCATTTATTGCCTAATCTTTTCATTATTTTTAGTGATAAGTCACAAGTCTCACAAGTCATATATACTATTTCCAGTGATTGTCATCGTTGATGTGTTTTTTATAGTTTAAAAAGTATTCAATCCAATGCATCGTTTCAAATTTAGAGATTACACCTGGTTGATATAAATAGTATATGACATTGGCGTAATGCATCTTCTCACGCTTTATTTTATAGCATCTGTTAAAACAGCGGAAAGCTCAGCAGCGGGAAATGTTACGAGCAAAAGCGGTTTTGGATCGTCGCGCTCAAGCTTTGGCAGAAAAAGAGAAGGAGAAGAAGGAAGTAAACGAAATTGATTTTTTTTAAAAATTTTTAACTTATCGAACTTTGGCGATTTTGTTAAACAAAGAATTCTGATGTTGGACTCTCTAACATTATTGTAATATAATCTTATATTTTTAACAGTTTATTCTTAGGCTCTGTTAGCGAAAACGCATGCATTGGCGTCACATTTTATAGCACAACATAAATCACGACCATATGCATTCGGTAGCAGCACGCCTCGGGAATTGGAATATCTGACACAGCTTAGTAAGGAGCAAAAGGTTTCACATTTCAGATTCTTTGAGTAAACTTTATTCCTGACAGTTCATCCTGTCTTTGAAGTAGTTTCATGAACCTTTTTTCAGGTTTATGATCACAAACTCATGCCTTCTGATCGTAGTTCAGCTGCAGCGTCTGGTTCGTCTAGCCATGTAACACTGACTCCACCTTATAACTCACGTAATTACATTGGAGCATCAATGACAGGAAGCCTGTATGTTGCTCGACCAGACTTAAAGGCACGTCATAAGCACACATCAAATTGCATGACGCAGTCTATGATGATTACGCCAAAACCAATCAAGACTACGAAAATCAACCAAACACCCGGTATTTTTTTATTTATACTTTTTGTTTGTATATCTTAAATAATTTAGTTTTGCAGTTTGGTTCACAGAGAGTATATACGGAATTTCTTTTAACTTGTTGGCGACAATTGATGTGTGACCGGATCTTGACATAATGGCAATAACATTCTTTTTGCAATCAATGTAGCTTTTGACGTTTAAATTCTTTTTATATCGGGTGTTGTATTATGCCGTATACATTTTGTGATAACTTGTTAAATTATTCAAGTTAGCACAGTTGCAATGAGCAGTAAATACTATAATACTATAGACTTCATTTTGATTTTCATGCTCGTTAAAATAATTCTTAGGTTTTATTTTTTCTAATCAACAATGCTGATTGTCTTTATATAAGGACCTATGTGATTTCAGATGCTATTTGCAGCAGTAAATAGATGTCTCAAAAAATTTTTATAGTTCATCGCCAATCTATGGTACAGCATCCAATAACTGCTACTAAGACAGCATCATACATCTTGAATGAAGTACCAATTAGAACAAAAAAGCTTGTTCAACAACATGTGTCTCCATTGTATGGGCAGAAACCTCGAACGGTTCAATCTAAGTAAGCGTTCCAAACTAAATTTATACTGCCAATTTTTAATATAATGCAACCTTTGTCTTTTTATTAATTTTTTTGTTTTTTTTATTAATTTTTCGTTATGTTTCATTTCAGACCTTCTGAAATGAAGACTGATACTTTGAAAGCTAAGCCTGTGTCTGTGTCGAGGAGAATACATAAGTCAGCTGAACAAGTAATGAAGTCAACAACAAATAATGAAGTTAACACTGAAGTTGTATTGGGAAAGTCGCTTGATGATCAGATGAGTAAAACACTCGTAATTCTGGAAGATTATAGCAAAGTTCAAGTTGACATAGCTACTACGGAAGTTAAAAATACTGTGGATATAAAAGAAGTCATAAATTTAGTTCCTGATACCAATAGAACTAAAAAGTTAGATGGAGAATGCGTTGCAATGGAAGTTTCTGACGAAAAAGAAAGGGTGGAACCTGCCGATTATGTATCTGAAATAGTGAAAAGTGATATGCGGAACGATGATGATCATAAGGGTATGAAAGAGAAGATAATTCATGAAAGTGCACTAGATTGTACAACAGAAGCTACAGTTGCTGAAGATGTTCTTCTGCTTGACCTTTCATCAGAAAGAGGTAATTCTGTAAATGAGACGAAGACGGATACTCCAGCAGTAGTTACGATGATTAATATGTTCGTTGGTAAGGAAGCAGGAATGTGTGAAAAGCAAGAGAAGGAAAATGATGTTCTGAAGGAAACCCTAGTAGAACTGCGAGGTACTATGAAAATATCAGAAAGAGATCACGATGACTCTCTCACAGTGTGTCTAGATTCATCGCAAATTAAAGCTGTTGATGAAGAACGAGGAAATCTAGGAAGCACAGCAAAGGTTTGTTCTTCAATAGAAAATTCAAAGCAAATTCTTGAAAGGCTGTTTTTTTGAAAGAAAAAACATTAATTTTGGTTCCAAGTAACTGATTACTAGTGTTTCTGTTTCAGGTATTCGCAGAGAAGGAATTACTGGCTATGAATGAAAGACTTCCTGAAACTGAAGGAGATAGCAGACAGGAAGAAGTAGCCATTCAGAAACCTTGCGAAATAACAGAAGATGAGAAAAAAAGCAACGCCTTTGAAGCAGACAAAAACTTTACCAAAGAACAGATTGAATCATCGACTCAGAATAATTCAGCGCTGAAGGGAGATGAAATAAAAACTGTTGCAGAAGATTTGAAATTGTCAGAAGAGAAAAATTCAGTAGGAGAGAAGCGTCGAATTCAGGATGAACTTTTAGAGAGAGAGCAACGCGAACGTGAGATGCGGAAAGCTAAGCTGGCATCTATTATGAGCCGAACACGCGGTGGTACGTCTTCAGTGGCCGTAGTTCCACCAGTTCTCCATATTGAGAATTCTGAGGTAATCTCTTTTCCTATTAAGATAATTCCCATTATTACTTTCTCTTGAATTAGAGATAAACATGTAGGGATAAGGAACAAGCCACAGTCATCTATTCAAACTATGTGGATCATGTATCATATTTCAGATTGGAACTCTGAAACATGGGACTGGTGTTCCTTTATCGAATGAATATACGCCAGTGAAAAATGCTCTCAGTCATACGACGGCTTCTGTTCTGCAGGTTATTTCTGTTTTTTATACCTGATAAATCTCCTTCCCTGATTTTAACCATCTCAGTCGTACTATATAGATAGGCTTAAGTGTGCTATGGTAAGAGAAAGAGAGAGATTTTTCTCAAAATATGGATTTAAATGCCTCAAAATTTTCTTGAATTTTCAGAAGCTAGCTACAACAAATCCTAAATTGTTATCTGTGCTGCAGCGCAACGGCTCCAATCAATCATTAGCTGATGAATTGTCTGAAGCTGATCCGTCAATGTCAATAACACTTCCAGGTCAACCTGTTGAGGCGATTGCCAGTCACGAAGGTTCTTCTACAGTACGACATTCGCCTTTCGAGCCCGATGTTAATCATCGACCTGTTGCTATGAAATAATTTATAATTTATTCTTTATATATTCTTTATGTAAAAAAAGCAGTTTTGATTCCATTTCATCCATTCGAGATTAAGGGGCAAAATGGATGTCATCTCAGGATGAGTTTTAAGGTAATGCTCAAAAAAATACTTGTTTAGCAGTTTCTGTACTAGATATTATGGCTTCATACTTAAGATTGATTAACTGGTAAAATATTGGAATGATTATGTAAAGACTGGTCTTGAGCAGGAAGTCATAATACAGACATCTGCTTATTATATAGAATTGCTGCAAAGCTATTTAAATATTTAAATGTAAATTTAATTTGATAATTTGTATACATCATTGCACTGTGCATGCTTTTGAACGAATGTCCATTGGACGAGTGTTAATGCTACATTTGTGTTTCTCTTCGTTTGCTCTACGATATTTGAATTTTCGGATGCTTTGTAGATATACAAATGTATTAGGAGAAAAAATCTCTGAGGGTATATATCATTTCCCCGTTAAAATCCAATGTTCTTAAGCATAGTTGATCCATGCGGAGATTTCATCATTGTGCAAATGTCGAGCAATTTTACATATCCATAAATATCATTTACGCATGATCATCAAGTGCTGAGGTCATGCTCACCAGTTTTCAGTGATTTTATCCGTCTGACCATTGCTACTATTTAATTATTTATTTTCAGGATTCAATTTTTTGATTTATTCTTAGTTTCAGATTCGGTTTAAATAATAGAAACGGCGTTCTGAAATTTTCACTGAAATATATTGTCGTGGATTCTCTTAATAAGTATTTAAAATTCAAAAGACAAGGTCACCAGTTTTCAGTGGTTTTATCCGTCTGATCATTGCTACTGTTTTAGCAGATGGTACTTAGAAGGTAATAATTTCTAACTATGATGATAAATTGAAATGTATAGAATCGGAAATCCCTTTTTGAAGAAACTGTACAGCCTGAGCGATACTTTCATACTTGGATTGTAGGCTTATTAGACAAATTAAAAAAATTTTTTTTTGCTCAAGTTAAATGAGACAATGTAAAGTTGATGTTTGTGAAGAGTTAGTAGCAGACATTTCATGAGGAAATGCTTCCTTAGAAGTATCCTACACTTAATGTAATATCATACATTTCAATGTATTTTTTTGTTTGATGTATTTATAGAATTGATCATTTGCTACGTTGCGTTTGATTTTAATTTTAGTAGGGATGGCTGATTTCTATTTCATTCTTTTATTAACTGCAATTTTTTTCATTGGATTTCATGTTTTATTGATTTTGATTACGTTACATATATATGTGAGTAAAATAAATTTCTAAATAATGATATTTTTTCGCTGGGAACATTGCCGCGAATGTATTGCTTACTGAATGATCAGAGTTTGGAGAAATCTCATTGGATGATATGGAGATTGGATTAAATCTCTCTCTCTCTCTCTCTTTCTCTCTGACATAACAGGCACATGTAAAATGAGAATTTTTATTGTTTTTTGATGGTAAACCTAGAAAGAATCCAATTATGATAGGATCTGAGGTATGAATAGCTGAATCGCTGATTCCCTAAAATATCCTAAATAATATTTATGAAAAGCTAACTTAGAGATGTGTAGCTTGTTGCGACAGTATAAATGGAGTCCATTGGTGCAATCCTTTGGAGTCTCTTCATGTCCTATTCCACTGTCATTCGAAAAATTTGGCATTGAAATAGAAACTGTATACCAAATATCACCAGTTGTCATTTTACATGGATTATTTGGACAGAAAACGAATTGGAAATCGATTGCAAATAATCTGCATCATCGTTTACGAACTGCTGTATTTACATTGGACCTGCGGAATCATGGTTAGTTTTGATGAATTTTCGCTGGAAAGGCAGCTATCTAATGGCTAATTTATTGCTGCTTTACAAGTAATTTTGTTCGCTCCTTTTCTTCATGAAGTAAAACCATAATAAGCTCATTTCTTATAACTGGTAAAATTCGCACCTTAATTATCAATTATAAGCTTTTTGGTGATGTATTTGCAAATGTTAATAACTTTTTTGAATAAATTTATTAAAGTTACAGAAGATTTTAGTTGTTTTTGACAAACTGCTTAAGATAAACACACTATCATATTTGCCATAATTAACTTATTCTATCATAAACTTATTGGATTGCTAATATTGATTTCAGCATGTTTACCACCTAGAAATGAGCTTGCAGAGTATAACATCAAATTTATTTTTCATTAGAATTATCTGTATGCTAAATGTCTATCCGAATAGGTAGATATTTGAAATGGTGGTCAAAAATGACATGAAGAGATTATTAATAAATGTACATTTATTGACAAATTATGGTAGCTTATTTCGAATTTCTTAGTTTTGATAAGCGAAATATTTGAAACTAATGTGTTTCATTTCTCTCATTTGATTCTTTATAATATATAAATCAAAATTCTTGACCATTTTAGATTTCGATAGGTGAATTTTGGTTAAATGAAGTAAGGATAGACATTCGCGAAGAAAATATAAGTTATGTTTTTGGAGATAAGAACCTAGCGACAGCCTGAGTTAATTATCTAGGTAAGCAAATGCGGTAGCAGATTTCTCTACAATTTGCTGTTCAGTTCTTGGTAGGATTGTGCGAAATAACTAGAAGTATTGAATTTAAATGTTTTTAATTCTTTTATATCATTTATTTTTAATTCTTTTGTACAAAAATGCACAAAAATCTTCATTTTGCAATTACAATTTGATTTTGACTTGATAAAATTTATCAAAGGATTTCTTGAGCATGGAATGATCTTTTAATAAACTTTGTTCAATTATTTTAATATAGCTTCTTTGGGCTTAATGACACTTCTCTCAACGGTGGTAATTCAAGCGGTCTATTCGTAGTCTTGTTTATACTTTAAACCAAATGCTCTCTGCATCAAAAGAACCATTTTGGAACAAGTATAATTATAGCAGTTACTGATCAATAATGGTTTGGCTATTATTACGGTTTTATATCTTAAGCTGGGGAATTTTACCTATCACTTTTCAGGTAATTCCCCATGGCATCCTACAATGACTTATGCTGAAATGGCAAATGATGTGCGCTATTTTATTGACGAAATAGTACCGCAACAAATAGGAGAATTTTCAAAAGTTCATCTTCTTGGCCATTCAATGGGCGGCAAAATAGCTATGCGTGTTGCTTTGATGAAGGATAGCGATATACGGCTGAAATCACTTGTTGTAGAAGATATAGCTCCGAAAGCATATAATTCTGCGGCATCTTTCTCAAGAATTATCGAAGCTATGAAATCTCTTGATTTGACTTGTGATCGTGCTGAAATTGAACAAAAGTTGGCAGTAACAGTTACCGATAGAACGACGCGACTATTTCTGTTAATGAATTTGGTACCGAAAGATCAGCACACATATAGTTGGCGGATAAATTTAGATTCCATCGGACGTTATATCGGACAAATTTGTGGTAGCTGTGGTGTAGAGAATAATAAAATATATAATGGGAGGTGCTTGTTTGTTTCAGGCGGTGTTTCAGACTATGTTATGCCAAGTGATTATCCTCTAATTTTGAAACAGTTCCCAAATACACAATTTTCTGTGATTCCTAATGCGGGGCATTGGGTTCATGCCGAAAAATCCAATGAATTTACAGATATTGTTACTAAGTTTATTCTTTCTGTTGAAAAACCTGAAGCAGGAGAAAGATTTGATAAGATAAGCAAAGAAAAGTAAACAAATGCAAACTGTTTATACGCTTGTTGAAAGTCCGAAGATATGATCGAATTTTTGCTCTGCTAATACTCTATTAAAAGTATATCAGTATCTTGCTCAAAACTTTTTTTTTGGGAAATCTGAGAACACACGAAAATTTGCAAAGAATGAAAGCAGAAAATATGCTGTTAGATTCTTTAACAGAAATGGTCACCACTTAATTTTTGTCAATTTTAAATTATGCTGTGTGATTTAAAGAAGTAGACTACGATCAGATCATATACATCATTACTTTTAATGATATTTTATGCAAAAGACAAAAAAGTTTTGTAATTTCCTTAATGCATAGTTTCGGTTATTTTCATTATTATCATTCTGTGATATTTTGCAATCTTTAACTGTTGGTTCTGAAATGAATCTTCGGTCAAACGATCAATTATTTTTGTATATAGCATTAGAAGTGCATATAATATACTTGTCTCTATAGTAACATATAGGATGTTGAAAGTTGATTTTGGAAGGTGAATTGGTTACTAATTTTGAAGGTCTCTTAAATGCTTGTCTAAGATTGTATATTAGTCTTGCTAATTGCACTATGCCACTCATTTATGTCGAGGTTACTATAACAGTCCTTTATTATTTAAATATGCTTTAAAATACGAACTTCTATTGACCTCTTTCTTTTGCTACAGTTACATGTTGCCTTTTGAGTATAAATTAAAACTTTAATTATATTTTATTTCCTTTTTTTATTATCGGAAGCAGAAAATATGGAAAATATTGTAGTTACCGTATGATTTCTCCCATCTAATCTGATTACTGATTGTAATGTATAGTTTTTAATTGGAAATCTTCAAGCAAATAAAGTTTTCTTTAAAGAGTGCAAATTGAAGGTTGTTGGAAGAAGTAATACCTGAACAAATTAATAAGCTTAAAGCTATTACTACTATCTTAAGCTTACATATTTCTTTGGAACATAGGAGGACCAAGCCTTTATATTTTAGAAATGATAAATCCTTATCACTGAACTTGTTTGACGGAGAAAGGGAAATCTTCCACTACTTTACAGATAAAAGTATAATGTTTTTAGTTTCAATGCATTTGTTTGCAGAGTAGTTCCTTTCCTCCACTTCTTGATTGATTGATTGGTTGGATGGTTGGTTCGTTGATCAGTTAATTTCTTCTCTTCGTACATTCATTTTAACTTTTTTTCATTCAGCAGAGTTTATAGCAGAAATTTTGCGCTTAAAATCTATGGTTATAAATATTAGGGAGGAACTGCAATTCATTTTACAGTTTAAGATAGACATTAGATATTATTTCGAAAATACTTTCAAATTGTCACTTAATGAATGTAATGGGAGAAATGTGATGGACCATAATATAATTGTCGTTCTTTTCGGACAAAAGTTCAGTTATTGAGCGTTTCTGAAACAATTTCAACGACAATAAAAAAAGTTTGATCTTGAAATTACAACTTTTTCTAAAAATCGATCGAACAACACTTACTTGTAGCGCTTGGAGCGATAGAGAAAAACATGTACAATATTTTATGGATCATTAAAATCTAATATAATTAATTTCAAAATTTCCTTCATTTCTCTTACATTCGCTAGATCTTCATTTATCCTCTCATTTCCTTTTGTTATAATTTTTAAGTTGATATAATCTTATCACCTTTTTTTTAAGTAAGTGAAATAACCATTAAATGAATGGAAGTTAATTTCTATTATTGCATTCTAAATTGTACATTTCAGCTTTCAGTTTCTATAATTAAATAATTGAGCGTTATAGCTCTCATATTAAATGATTTCCTATTTTCTTTTAAGTTTGTGCAATATGTTTTTGGACTTGCTGCTTTTGATATCGATTAATGGCCGAAGATTAATGTTAGAAATTTCCTGCAGACTAAAGAAATTCGCCATCAAATTCAAAGCTTAGAGAAAGAGTTAAATTTTTTGATCATTTATTGGTACTAGAATAAATTAATATATTGTATTCGTAATTACTGAAAAAGCTTCTCAATTAATATCATGAGATAAGTGGCTAAGAGACTGATGGCGAATTTCTTTAGTCAAACTAATCCAGACATTAATAAATTATTTATTGATAGATTTGAAATCTATGCCAACGAGTATTAATGGTAGGTAATGCAGAAGTAAAATTTCAATATTATCAGGAAATATTTCGACAAGATTTGAACATGGATATTGAATAAGTACAATAATTCGCTTTATCAATTTACGTCATTCATATCAGCTGATAAGTTTAATCATTTCGATGTTGTGAGTGATGTAAGCTAATGCATCTATTTTGAAGAATTATAGCATTCCTTTATTATGATCCTGAAGTTCATAAGACTGTCTTTAGATAAGATGTGGACTTTATCGACAGCATCATCATTTGACTATATTTTTACTACCGTTGTTTCCATCATTTTGATAATAAAAATTCTCGTTGAAAAAGAAACGTATACAGTGCGCATTATTCGCGTCAAGAATTACGCATCTTCTTTCTTTCACTTCTTCTCTACACATGCATGTAATCCGATAGTGCTGTCCTTCGCAGGTGGAAATTTTTTGTGACTAATATATCAAACGTTACAATAAAGGCGTGTTTTACAAAATGAAAGTTAAGTAAAATGTTCCCGGTTGACCATATCCGAAGAATTACCATTTCTCTTATTTAGGCCTTTTGCAAACATGTGAAGTGCTGCATTTTACGTCTTATAAAATCTTCTCAAAATTTTCTAGATTCAAAGAAAATCCTTTTCATCCAATCAATTATTATCGTCTATGCTTTCACCAAGCAAGGTTACCGAGATCAATATCTTGAGATTCTCCTAATATGGTTAAACATCAATTACAAAACCTTATCTTTCGCGAATCACTATATCCTGATATGCTCGGCTTACCATCCTGAATTCGATCATATTCAGGACAACATACTGATCTTTCATTTCTTGATATTAGTTAAATCTTATGAAGTATTTATGATTTTAAATTTCAAACATATAGTAGTCAAAGAGTAATGCCGAAGATCACTTTAGAATCCATTTGTGGTACATAAACTGCTATCGTTTCTTCGTACTTTCATTATTATTTATATAGCAATTCTAATACCATCCTAATAAATGCCTTTTTTAGTTTCATCTTTTAAACAATACGGGTGCGGTTAGAAGCAAGAAATAATTATGGAGCTTCAACAGAAGCTTTGGGTTTTACATCTACTATTTGCATTACGGTATTGTTGGTGTCTTTGTTCCACGATGAATGATTTCTGGTTGTTGAATTTTAGTGATGAGACTAGTTGGTTTGGGTTGTGGAGATTACCGATGACGGTCTGGGACATTTTTTTATGTGGTAAATATAAAATGTGGTTCATCTTCCCACACTTGGCTTGTTTATTTGGTTTCAATCATATAAGCTCGTGAAAAATTATGTTCGTCTTACATTGTTAAAGTAACATTCGTAAATGGATTGTGATTAGTTATGAAAGTATAAATGATTAGCCATAAATGGACTGATTAGTTAAAAGAGAGTGAGTTATAGTAATTCTGTTATAGATTATAACCGGGGATTCCATTGGTGATTATTTTATGAAATTAATGTCTGCTAATCTTCCATTCAAGTTAACAAAATTAGTTGAATTGAAATATTGAGAGAAATGAGGGATTTGGTATGGAATAAATGGCCTTAATATAATACTGAAACATGAAAGGTTATAATAATGAAATACAAGAGATTAGGGTAGGTTAGAAGAATGAAATTTTTTTGAATCAAGTATTAGATGAGGGGTTTTTCTGTAGTTTGAATTGAATTTGGATTTTCTAAGGAAAGAAAGGATGATTTGTACTTATAAATTTGATTTGATGGATATATTTCAAATATAAGCATGATGCTTGTTTTAAGAATTTCATTTACTCTCACAGGTTACGGCTGGTCTTTTCCTCTAACCATATTTATTTCACGGTTTACGCTAATTTTCTTTTGTACCAAAACCGACTCATCTTTGATTTTTCAGCTTTCTTTAGCCATCGTAAATGGCAGCTACACCAGTTACAGCATCACAAGGCAAAACGATGACACTTAGTGAGCTACGTGTTTTCGAACTTAAGCAAGAATTAGAAAAGCGTGGATTAGATAAAAGTGGAATTAAACTAGCATTAGTAGAACGCTTAGAGGAGGTTTGTTTTTGCGTTTAGAAAAGAATTTCTATCTTTTAATACTTTTTGAATTGAAATGAACGATATTTCAATTCACAAATAGAATTAACGCAACCATTATGCAGCATTATTAAAATTTGACGTGGTGGACTACATGCAGAATGGCCAATTATACCACCAGTTTCTTCAGATTCTTAGGCCATATTAATAAGCTGTTAATGAATTCAAGGTAAACTTCCAAAACAAGTCATAACTCTAAAAGCAAAATGATGTATTGAGTAATAACGACGAAATAACGTTCTGTAATCTTATCATAAGATGATAAACTTTTTCAACTATGCATATATTATTGACTTTTTATTTCGAGAAATGCCAGGCTAACCACTGTGAATTTCACTGAGTTCTTTTCATAAATGGAATTTCGTAAATTGTTTTATTTCAAGGCTCTTCGAGAAGAAGGACACGATCCAAAGATTTATAAGTTTACGGTCAATGACTATGGCAAATTTCCGGCCGCTCCCTTGAAAAATTCCTCTAGCGAGACAGTGAGAGAAAGTCAGTTCAGCTCTAGTAGTCACGAAAGTTAGAACTTATCATTTTCATCTTTTTTTAGTACTTGTTTCCTTTTAATATCTGCATTCAACTTTCTCGTGATTATCCTAATCATTCTATCTCTTTCACCTTTTTTTTAGCTTTATCTGATCATGAAATTGAAGTTTCTAACGGTCGTCACGAAAATGAGCAGCGGGAAATGAAAAAGGAAGATCCAAGTGAACCGGATACTGCTATTGGTATGGTTGTCGAATCTGAAGACAGTGATGGAACAATTGAAAAAACTGATCATTTGGCAACAACCAAGGAATCATCCGAAGAAGTGATGGAGGGCAAGAAAGTGAAACACAATCAAATAGAAGGAACTTCAGTTTTGAAACAAGGTTTTAATTTTTGCTTAAATTATTTATTATATATTTTATTTTTAGCTCATTCCATTGCAAATGGTACTATGCTTAATAATGAGTTCTTAGGACACTGTAAAATTCATATTAGGCATTTTGCTGAGATAGTAAATTTTAGATGATCGCAGTAGAACTGAACTTATCGAAGAACAAATGGAAGTAAATGAAGTTATTGAGGATACCTCCATTGTCAAAGAAATAGTGGAAACCAAGGAACCGGAAGAAGAGGAAACTGTTAAAGAAATTGCAGATGAAGTTAACTACGAAGATGAGGAAATGCCAGATACAACTCGGGTATATTGTTTTCGTTTCATTTTTGGTATTGGTAGCTTCGTGTCTAGGCTTTTGCTCTTGACCCAGTAATATTTCAAAACTTAAAAGTTTAAAACACTCAAGAAGTTTTTTTTGTTTTTATAAAGTCTGATAACAGAAAAGTCGCTTTGATTTAGTCGTGAAGGTCTAAAAAAATCTTGCAGATCAATGAGGAGGAGGTGGAAGCAGAGGAGTGCAAAGAAACTGAAAGCAAAATGACAGAAAAAGAGGATGAAAGTAAGACAGTTGGAAAAACAGAAGTGAAAGCTTCTAAAGAGGGTGATAATTTATTTACGTCGACTGTTGAAACTGTAGCATCAACACCACCGGAACGTACTGACGATGCTCCACATGCAACGACATCCACGCTTAAAAAGTCCGATAACTCTTTGTGGATCAAAGGCATCAGCCCGAACACAAAAGCTGCAGATTTGAAGGTTATTCTATGATGATATTCTAATTTTTTTTAAAGTTTTATTTCCTTTTTTGAAAATGTGCGTTCGAGGACGGTGATCGACTTACACTTATCTCTCGATTTCCCCTTTCACTTTTTCCTGGTCGTTTTGGAATAGATATCAGATATCATTCGTTCGTTCTATATAGCCATACTCAATATATGGTTCCTGGAAGTAAATCCAACAAATACATTGAGAATATTTTAAAATGTTTTAGGCATTATTTGCCAAATATGGTCGAGTATTAACCGCCAAAATTTTCACAAGACGACAGCAGCCATCAAATGCATGTTTTGGCTTTGTCACTATGATCGATTCAGCTGCAGCTGACCTCTGTATTCAAAAACTTCATAAAACAAATGTTAAAGGACGTCCGATTACGGTGGAACGAGTATGTTTTGTTCAAATTCTTCTGGCGCACGTAAGTGGGTGAAATAAAAATTTCAGATTCATATGCAAATGTTGTGGTTTATCTTAAGATCCAGAAGTCATTTTCGTTATCGGATTTCACTTTGCTGCACGAAAATAATTCGACTCAAATATGTTTAATCGGAGACAAAACTAGCTGTTACATTTGGATCAGTGCATGATTATATAGGCTGTTACGAACAAGTTCAAGAAATCACTGTTTTACTCTCCGTCATGATTTTTAGTAGAAAGTGAATATTCGTAATCAAAAATCTTACAGTAGCATTATCTTCATGTGACTTCAAACATCGGGGTATCTGTTGGAACGCCAGAGTTGGTAATTCACGAGAGCAGAATGCATCATCAATGCCCACATGGTACAATATTTTACAAATTTAGGCGGACCGTTGCAACATGCCCATTGCTAAGTCGATACCCAAGAAACCAACATGTAATGCGACAGGTGACGTGAAAAGTGGAAAGTCCACTACCACTTTCGATACTTGTTCGAAAAGCGGTGAAGAGAAATTATCAACCTCTAAGGCGGCTGGAAAATCGAAGAAAGATATACCTACCATTGACAAGTCAAAAAGTAGCACATCGAGTGGCAATAAGGAAGCCAGTACCACGAGAAGTGAGAAGCAGAAAACAGTGAAAGCAATGTCGGAAACGAAAAAATCACCCGTTAAAGCGCCGTCTGCGAGCACAACACGTAACATTTACAGAATTTTCTATGTATGAAAGCTGAACGACTGGAGAGATGAGGTCCTTACGCAGATGGTCATTTTGAGACCAGATTTGATTGAGGTGCCTGGAATTGGCAGCCAAACTTTCTTAATTCTGGAGTGTAAAAAACTTCTGAAGTTTTGATGCTGTCATTACTGAGAGGGGTTGCCTGGTATGTGCTTGGGCGTTGATCTTTCTTTTTGACATCATCATGCCTTCCAAACAATCGACTCGTCTTTTGCAACAGATGGAGGTTATGGCTCCCTGGTTTAGATTGAAGGAAAATCAGGTTACCGAAAAGGTGCAGATGAAACATTCATGAAGTTTTTCCTGACCAAAATGTTTCTTTGGAAAACATTCATGAGAATTGTATTTCCGGGAAAAGAGGGCCTCAGAAAATTACGATTCTGTAGCTGCGAATACATGCCGAGGGAATTTCTGTACGCTCTATAATATTCAGTGTAAAAGGCGAAATGAGAAGTAGGGCACTTGCTTATACTGTTTCAGACTCAAGGTTCTCAACGCTCAGCAGCAGTAAACGTTCGACGGTCACTCGTCTACCATCACGGTTTCGAGCAAATAGAAGAATTGAGCGAGCAGATCGTGTTTCTTCCACGTTACGGCGTTCGTATGTAATTCGTAAACCTAGTTATTCGTCAGCTGCCTCAAGAAGAACTTTGGGAAGTCGACCATTTTCGGGTCGTCTTGGTCGTGGTAGTATATTACGCGGAATGGTCCGCCGTGAGGTTTCTTCACGTCGTGTTGAGCCTCCTACTTCATGGGAAAAGCGTGAAATGATGGAGATGTTGCGTAAAAAGGAAGAAGAGCATCGGCTTAAAGAGCAAGAATTGAGACTTCAGCGTGAACGTGAGCGTCTGAAGTTCGAACGTGAACGGTTTGAACGGGAACGGCTTGAATTGCAACAACTGCGCCAAATCGCTGCCCTCACCACACCAGTGCAAATGATGTCAGCTCCGGGAGCGCCTCCACCACGTCGCTCGCATGAATACGGTGATATGGATTCATCCAGGTACAAATCAGAAAAGGAATTGAAGTACGTTTTGATTCGGCGCGAATTTTCTTTTAACTTTATATTCAGTTCACTTTCTGATGAATTCCGAGATTTGGGGGTCTAAATTAAAGATGCTAAAACAGTTGGGAACACACAACTTTGAGGGAATTGCCATGCCCTTTGAATGATGATCCTATATCATTTAAAGCAAGAAGTCAACGCAAAGATAGTTCTTTCGCGAATTATAGGCAACTGCTTCAAATATTATTTAAAGGCGGAGCGAATATTCAAGGCGGTCAGGGGAACGATCATCATCACATCGTGGCGTGACTTCTACACGTAGCTCTTTACCGGATCGGCGAGAAGCACACAGTTCATCGCGGCATGTTAGTAGTACACACTCGTCATCACGTGGTGCTGGCGAACGAAGTCGTGAACGCAGTCGTGACCGTAGCAGACACAGTATGTGTTTTTTATTGCTTTATAATTGCATGTTTTGCTACATTTTTTTCAATTTATTTTGGAGTAATTTGTATCATCAGATTTGGTTTTGTCGTACTGTTATTTCTGCTTAGTTTTTAGTATTTTATTTTAATCGGTCTCTTAAAGCCCATTCCAGCTTCACTTTTGTGGTTTAGATCCGTATATGGATTTTATAAATTTACTTGTTGTAACAAATCTTAGGTACTCGCGACTATGGTTCATCGAACATCGTTCGTGAAAATGTTCCCAGTTATGCTCGTGAAAGTCATTCATATTCACGTAGTGGTGACCCCACAATTTCCAACAGTTATGGTACTTTTTTTATACACTTTACACAGTCCAAGTTCTTTTAAAAGGTAATTTTAGCTGGGAAGATTTCTTATTGATGGCTTTGATATTAATATAAAGGATTTATATCAATTTACTTTGATGTAACGCAATAAAAAAGATTATTTCAGGGCGTGACCCATATCGACCCGATTCGACGACTTACAATGGCCATCGTTCTGGTGACGCTGGATATGGAAGCCGAGACCTGGGAACGTATAGCTCATCTAGTACTTATTCCCGTGATGTAGCACCATCTTCTTATAGCAAAGATTCTGGTTTGTTTTTTTTTTTCTTCTAGTGCATAATTTAGCATGTGGTCATAAATAACTCAGACATATCAAGGGCCATCAGTTATTTGGCATATTAAATTTACCTCTGCATTTTATCTCTTATTTCTCTTTATCCCAATACATCATGTTTCAATATTTAAGCAGAGAAATTCTCTCCAGAAAAGCATAACGAAGAAACATATAAAAAATACAATTAAAAAACTATGTGCCGTATGAGTCACACAAATGAAAATTGATTGTACACACAATTTCTGACTGCAGTGTACAGTTTTTTATTCTGAATCGGTATATGTACCGGTTTAAATATCAGAAAAATATGTTTTTTGGAATCTGAATTCAAAGGGGCCCGTACGCAAACTTTGATGATGTTATTTCTTTATTTCGATTTGAATACTAAGTATGAAGTTGTGATACACCATAAAAATGGTGCTTAGTTTGCTCCACCTGATGGCAGCAGAAAGCTATGAAGGCCACCCTCGTTTCTGGTGATATGTCAGTCTAAAATATTTTGAGAATGGTGGGGAGAATAGGGCATGCTTCTCATGGATCAAAAATTTTGGATGTACTTAAGAGAAGGCTTTTCATTTGTATTTTATAGGTTATGGTGCTAGTTCTCGTTCTTTGGGAGGTGGTGCGTCTTGGTCAGTTGGAGGTTCATCTTCGACTTACGTAGGGTCATCACGAGATTATGACGGTGATGCGTGGATTTCGGGCGTGTCTGCGTCTCAAGGCCATGGAACTCACGGCTTGGGAAGTAATAATTGGTCATCATCAAGAGGTTGTTGAACTATTGCTGTTCTGAAAATTTGCTGTATTTCTAGAAGAGACAACCATTTTTAGTAGTTCAGACTGTGTTTTTCACTGCCATTACCAACTTAAGACCCATTTTGCTGTTGCAGATGACAACTGGTCAGGTGGTATAGCTGACACACATGGACATGTTTCATCTTATCATAAGTATGACAAATACGATTCTTATGATAAATACAACCGCCGTTACTAACATATGTTATTTAATTACTTGATATTCTGCTTCTTTATTATGTTATCAAGACGAGGAGCTTTTTCCCTCTCGGAATGTGTGTGCGTTTTTTTATTTTATTGTCTTGATAATTCCACACCAGATATTTTTCCCGAATTAAATAGAAAACAAATTTTTATGTTAAAGGTGAAAAACTAGTCACTTAGGAAGATCATGACTCCCGTTTCCGATCTTTATGACACAGTCTACTAAAAAGTTCACAGTTTTCCCACAATTTCCTTTTGTCGACATTTGAAATTGGAAGAAAATGACAGAAAACCATTTATGACGAAATATGATCCACAGTGCGCTCTACCGATGATCATAAAATGTTCAAACAGATTTAAAGTGAATCCGGACGAAAAGAGCACAGCTTAACTTCAAAATTTTCTCTTGGTGCAAGGAATTCAAGCTCAGTATTATATATTAGAGTGAGCTCTTTGCTGCTGCCCGCGAATCACATTTTGTCATAAATGGTTTTCTACCATTTCCTTCCAATTTCAAATGTCAACCAAAGGAAACTGTGGGAAAGCTGTGAATTGTTTAGTAATATATACACCAAACTATTGTGGCTCGTTTCGCATTTATCTTGTGAAATAAATTAGAATTTTGCCATGCTTTGTTTTACTCAGCGAGGAAGTTGTGGAAACTGGCATTCGCTTGTTTTGTGATGGGAGGTGATAATAAAGGAAGTAAGTCCCGATAATTATATGCGTTATGATGAGAGAATTGTTGGTGACTTTGCAGCTGAGTGCCGCAAACTACCAGAGTGATATGTGAGCATAATGAAGATAGGTTCTGATAACAAACTTTAACGAATGATATTCAATAACTTACTAATTCATTTTGATATTCTATAAACAATCGAAAGGAATGACTACATTTTAGCATTATTTTTATTGAATAAAATACACAACAGGACAGGATCTATTGTAAGTAAATGTATTGAATGTACTAATGTGCTATTGTGAAATGTCATCAGCTGCATAAAGAATAATGACATTCCTATGTTGCAAAAATAATTACTCGCCACTCGTGTCGCTATGTTTCATAGTATTAAATACAGTATTAAAACCGTTCTTAGTGTGCATTTTTTGTTTAATTGGAAATGAGATTTTCTACATGAAATATATGAAATATTTCCTGAAAACAAGATTGCTACGTTAAATAGAAGTACTGGGACCGCACACAATGAGACGTACACGCGCTTATACCCACATATTATTTATTGAATGAAGTTATTTACCGAATATTGCATAAAATACACAACAAGATGGGATTGTTGCTGTGCTTTACAGCGTCACACTATTAAATGGTCTTTATACATCGAAATATTCAAACCGCTCTTAGTGTTCATTTTTGTTTAAAAGACGATGTCAACGGAGAATACAGTTTGGAAATGCAATTTTCTACATGAAATATTTTCAGAAAACAAGCACGCAAAGCAACTTAGACAGGACATTCACATTTATCAGTAATGCACGAAATGATGGGAACAGAGTGCGAAGGGAATAGACACGACTAGAAACCGTTAACAGTGAGATTCGAAGTTGGTACTAAACCTTGTAAGACACGGTCATGGCGCGGTTGCAAGCGACAGCATCGGGCCAACTGACCTCTCGTTGTTAAAATGCGCAATCTTTCACCTCGTGATACTTCGAGCATGCCGGGTTCATTGAAGTCATCAATAGCTGCGACTAAACAGCAACTCGGATCGATGCCACCAGGCGAATGCAACTGATGGGATGGCGGTATTGCACCAGTTGAAGTCACTTCACTTTCGCGTGATGATGATCTTGATGAAAGATTAGAATAGACTTCAACGCTTGATTTCGTTCGCATCGGACGCTGACTAAGAAGTGGAATCCGACTTCGTTTCAGTAATTGTGCATCGTTCGAACGGCCAAAACGCGCTGAATTAGTATGGTTGTTGTCATTGTAAGTGCTATTTGGTTTTTGATTTGACAAACGGGATGGCATTGAGGAGCTCTTTGGCACTCGTGAATCACTAGCAAGACGTGAAGCCCCCAAGAGCACTTTGTTAGGCCATTCCTGGGATGAAGAATTGCTCGAGGACCGACGCTCAAGAAGTGTGATCAACTCCAAATTCTCTAACAGTCGCCATAACAGACTTCGATATGCAGTACTTGCCCGTAACATGAAAGCACCATTACAATAGATTTTCGCCAATACATTCTCTTTCAACACCACATAACACATCCAGCAATCAATAGATCCTGATCTGAAAAAGATTGGTTCAAAGTGAAGGAGAAGCGCAGGAACTCACAAAGCTCCTTGAAAAAATGCGGTTACTCTTAGACGTTTAAACTTTCTCACACTAGCTGAAATTAAATTGAAAATATTTAATTTGCTGAAATAATTCTTCGTAGGACCACACTATCCAGAATAACTATATTATAGGGTCCCGAAAAAGATTTGACGATTATCAAAGGCAGATTTTAAAGATTTACTTTATTAGTTCATTGAAGAATACTTTAACACGAGAATTTAAAGACTTCTCGCTTTTATCCAACTCATTCACTAGTGAATATACACTTTTCGTTGCTGGACCTGAAATAACTTTGAACGTTAACCTTGCAAATATTCTTTCTTGAAATTTAAAATCGACATTTTACATTTGAAATTTCTGCAAACTAAATGAATACCAGGTGCCGTGACAGTAACAATCATATCCCAAGGATGTTTAATTTTTAGGCCATCAGCAAGCAACATCTCGAGTGTGGAACAGAGATTTGCTGGTGAACCTCCTCGTGCCACTTCTGCTACTCCTTCCACAACCTATATACGGATATTTTACAAAAAAAAGAAGAAAAAAGTACAAAGAGAAATACAAAATAACCTGGTTAACTTTAGATTATTTACATGAAAAGAATAATTTTTAATTCCCAGAGATTTCCCTTCTGTGCATCAAAAGGGAAAAAATTAGAATATTGGAATTTTTAAATTAAACAGTATATCGAATTTTCGGTAATATAACCTTTTCGACGAGTTTTCTCTTGGCATTGTAAATGGGTAGACCAATAATGCTCAATTCTTGTGCTCGTAATCTCAGTTGACTAAAAGACGTAAAATGATCTTGAACTGAAGCATTTCGATCAACAATCTGTAAATCGGGGTTGCTGATTGATGCCGACCTTCGCATAGTTACTCGGAAATAACTACAATCGTCTCCAAAGATATGCGCAAAAGAAATTAGGCTAAGATTCTCAAAATGAGGTTTCATTGCACTGCAGTTAAGATGGTCTTTTTTGATAAGAACTTCGCGCATCAGATAACATAAAATGGTAATGGCGTTCAATGCTTTCATAGTAACAGTCACAGATTTACAAAATATTTTAACGACTAAAAATACAAATAAAGAAGGCATGAATTGCATATAGTTTTTTATGTGGTCCATTACAAAAATAATATAAATAAAAATATAAAAATAGTGAAAAAATAACCTCACTCGAGATGCAGTCACAAAGAATATATCGCGTTCTAGCAGGCTGAGCCCAAACAGGCGGACGGAGTCTTTTTCTAACATTAAAACATATTCGACATGCTTCGCTCCTACGTGGTATTATCCGCTCGATGTTATTTGATCCTGTTAATAACTGACTATTTGCTTTGAAAAATGAACAAGCCTCGGCAACATGTCTGAAAAAAAAATCTGAAACTTATGTTTTTAAACTATATGAATAGATAGATATGTAAATTCACTGTTTTCCAATACATATCATGAAGTGTAGCAATCTTGCATAAGATGTTGTAAATTCTTTCAGCGTATGATGGATAAATATCAGCCTTAGTAAAGCAAGTAAATGTACTGCGAGAAAAATGATGATTTTCCTCGCCTCTAATGTTTTCCTTTCATTATGGAAGTTTGTGGAAAAAGACTTACTTGGGCAAAAGGAGAGCTAAAGATGGCCAGTCTTCAATATGTGACGGGCCACTACTAGCTGTAGCACTGCTACCTAATCCAGAATCAGGACCTCGTTTCTCCAGAACATTAAGCAATGAGAAATCAAATTTTTCATCTTCTAACACTCCTTCTTTTAATTTATCCATAATTTCACTCACTGACATTGATGACTGGCACAAACTTGGCACCTGTAAAACTTTCTTTATAATTTGAATCTACTGGTAAAATCCCAAAATATGAGACCATCTAATGGCAGCTTAAACTAAGCAAGTGAGAATAATACCCAGCTTTAATGAAAGGACGAGATATATTCTTGTAGCTTTGTATGCAGGGGGACTTCGTCAAACCAATAGTGACATCTCAAAAATCCAAGACAAAAAATCTTGTTGAAGTTTAACAAGTAAGTGGACATTCAGAAGAGAAGAGATAGCAATAAAACGAGATTTTATTGTAGGGCGTATCGATGTACGTATGCATTGTTTTAAGTGTCTGCAATCCAGATGATTCTAAATTAATAAACGACAACGTTGATATAACTGATACCACGCTGTACCACATGAGTTTTTGGAAAGAAACAATCAAACTAATCAAAGAAAAGATTGAATTCTTTGGAAAAATTTTGCGAGCTTTTTCAAGAAATTATTCTTTGTTTGACAATTGATATAAAATAATGAATTGAAAGCATAATTTTCTCATAATTTCCTTCAGATGTGACCAGCAAAGATAGTAGGGAAAATTTCTGACCTACGCCATCTGCACAAGGCTCTACCAAGTACCGATCTTATCACTTTCTGTCACTTTGGAATATGAAAAAGATTTTCGAACGTCTTAGTGTACAAAACAACACTTCAAATTCAAATTATTTTTATGGACTTCTAACCGATAAGAACTGTTCTTTAAATTCAAATCAAAATCTTCTGCATTAGTGAAGACATTAGTGAAGTGAACGTAGTTTTACTAAAGCAGTGGGCAAGAGAGCGAAGAGAGAAACCACAATAATTATTTTCCCAAGCACGCATGAAGTACCTACCAATCTTCAGATATCACAAATCTCGAAGAATCCACTAACAAGTGCATCCCAATTTCATTGTAACCTTGCTAGAAAGAATTTGAAGCAGAGAAGAGGGAGTAATAGTGCATTTCAATTTTGTTTTCTTCCACGACCTTTCTTGAAATAAAGATTATTTGTTTCAAAAAATTTACGTAGAGTAGGCGTTGATATCCATATAAAAATTTAGTATCCAAATTTCAAAAATTCTTTCTGAATTTCTGCAACCTCACAGTCAACTTACAAATAAATCCATTATATGATTATTATTTTATGCTATCGTAAAGAAACGGAAATGCTTTAACAAGAATATTCAATTTCTTGCAGTACTGATGATTATTGTCTGATAAAAAATGATATGGATTGATGCTGAGAAAAACGTGAAAGGAAAGATAGGGCACTCATATACAGAAATAAAATAAAATTGGTAAGCCAATTAGAAATCCACGATTTCCGTTCTCTCCGTCCAAAAATCTCTCAGTTCCTTAATTTTGAGAAAGACCCAAACTATACTGAATCATGCTATAACACAAATTTATGGGTATTTAACATGTACGAAACAAATAGAAACGATGCAAATGTGAAGAAGTTCGAAGAATTTGAATATACAAATAGCTTTGGAAAAAACTAAAAGAAATCAGAAATTTTTGAGAAGAAAAATAGAAAATGGTTTAAGTAAAATTTTTAATATGGAAATGAACTAACATTGTGGTTCAGAAACATAAAGTCGAGATGTGGCGCTCGATTTGCTTGAAAGTCCGCAAATGTTCGTCGAGGCTTCATTGGAGGGTTTGGTGGTAGACGATTTGCGGCACGCCAACGGTCCGTCCGCTGCACAGCTGCTGTACTTTGCGATACAAAACCGATTTCGTTATCATTAACATCTACATAACGCCCATTGCCTGAAATTTTTTACGTTAAATGTCCAAGTTTAATGTCTTTCTCTTGTTACAATATGATGTATGGCACGTTTGAAGTGCTGGAATTTTGAGCCAAAGAATGGCAACCATTACTCACCCTTCCGCAGTTGCTTTTCCCTCACACTGAAAACAAATGATTTAAAAATTTGCATTAAAGATATGTGGTCATGAAATATGAGCAAGTGGAGAGATAAAAAGCACATTGCAGGCATCTTGCAAGACAATTTTATGAATTTATCTTTTTATTACTAGTTTATTTTTTAACTTTTGTACGAGTACTGCACAGATTTATTAGTTTTTTAACTTATATGCAAATAATACCTACGTTTATCCTTAGATTATTTTTTAGTTTTTATGCAAGCAATGGATGAAGCTTGAAATATAAATGTAACTCACCCACATAAAGTTCTAAATAATCATAATCGGACTGCCGTTCAACAAAAGTCGCCACCAAACTTGACGGTCGTTGCTGTTCGCTTGCTGCTGCTTTCAGATTGTTGCTTAATTCAGGCAAACTATTCGTTTTTTCGTCTAATGGTTCCGTACTTCGAATGCGCCCCCACGTGGTGAAATTGCCACTTGTCCATTGACCGCTATCTTCGAACGTTAATTTGTAATCATTTTTTTTTACCTGAACGGATATCATGAATGAGCAGAAGATTTTATAACTTCGCAACACAAGGATATAGCTGATATTTAATAGTTTCTTTTTCTTTTTTCATTTTTTGTTCTTCTTTTCAATCTCATCTCTTATCTCTTAATTCTTTCCAATTCTTTGCTCCATATCGCGGCAGAGTTGAAATACTAAACCCCTCTGTACATACTATGAGCTATCCATATCCACTATTGATACAATTACATTTGTATTTATTTACGCAGTGAGCCATCAAAAAGGGGGAAAAATTGACAGATTCAGTATCACAATAACAGAACCCGGGACTATATCTTAACATATAATGAATCGATTAAAGATTAAAAAGATTCAACAACAACTAAATTAATTAAATTACGAGTACAATAAGATAGGTTTTAATTGCTCTACCAATAAAATTTCTATGTATGTATTAATTTTGATTTTTTCAACAAATATATCGAAACAACTAAATTTCCGCTCCAAACGTTGTTAAGTATACTTTTGAACTCTAAGAAAAAACTAAAAGATCTCTAATCTTTTTTCTCGAGTGAATTCAAAATTTCAAGCAAGGCTATGAACATGATTTTACTTTTTTGGAAAAGAATAGTATAATTTTCATTCAGAAAAAAAGATCTTCAAACAAATATGGTTTCATAATGTTTACGTAAAATGGTTTAGAAAATCTGTTGAGAGATAATTTCGTTTTAAAACAGAACTATGCTTACTCACAGATGAGGAAATGGTAGTAATACAATCTAAGTGAATACGAAATTCTGCTATCAAAATACGCCGGAACTCTAGAAACAGTTTCAACAAACATCAAGCTTAAAAAAATAAATTACCATTTTGGCAATTGAGATTAACTAGGTAAAAACTCAAGAATTCTTAATTTCTGAATTGGAAAAATTTTGAAACCTTCCTTTTTTCAAACAGATAAGGCAAGCAATGCGGTGTAATTCAGGAAGAAACAGAACTGGTACGAAGAAACAGAAAATATGGAACTTCTTTATACTCTAGATAAGTTCCATATTTTCTAGATAAGTCAAAGAAATTCTCTAGATAAGTCAAAGAAATAAACGGATGTAGGATAAACTAAATTGAAATACTGACTGTTCGTCAGTCCAAAAATATCAGAATGGATTAAAACGATAAATGGATAAGATGCAGTATAAAAGTACCGTATTTAAGAAGGTACGACATCAATCCCATACTGTTAACTGACAGCATCTTGAGAACTTCGAGATAATCTCCGCAAGTATTAGGAGATTGATTATGAAATTATTATCGTTTACTCTTTCTAAGAAAAACATCCATGCTTTCATTTGTCGCGACGAAATCTATTTCATTTCACCTATACATTCAGTTATGAGAAAACTATGGAAATAACATATTAAGAATAGTGATCTTTGTTATACGAATGTTTTGCTTCTGGCGACTAGTTAAGCACATAGAAATGAAATTACAAAGAGAATAACAATGCAATGAAGACATGATTATATAACAATTTAAAAAAATCAAGAGTAGAAAACACTCTTTATTTCGGCTCGCAAAATCTTTCTCAAGGTTCTTCTCAACTGAACGGATATGTTCAACCATTGGACTATATGAACGTTCTCAAAAAATCCTTGAATTATATGTATAAAGTGTTAAAGCACTCGTTCAGAAAATCCCCATTAGAAAAAATCTAATTCAGAATTTCGGATATCAGCCTAAAATAGAATTTTTGGATTTGAACTGTTAGGATGCACCTGAACTCAAGTAATGTTGAATATAGTTTTTTAAGAAAATTCAACCAGGAGTTCTGAAAACTGAATCCTGAAAATTTCTTATTATTTTCAACAATGTTGTCTTATCTGCTTTCTCTTCATATGTTTGCTATAAAATGTTCTACGTTCCAATCAACATTAACAAGTGAAAAATTTTGATGCAAGAGTCGAAATGCTTTATGTAAATTTAATGAAGCTTGAGCTTAAAATCCTTCGAAAATATTTTTTTAGTTTTTGCGCAAGGTTTTGACGAAGATTCAGTAGGGAACAACTGAATCTGAAGACGTATAAATTTAAAAACTACCAAATTAAAATTCGAAATAAAACTTCATGCCTAATTTGTACGACTTAATAAAACACTGATCAATTTACTACAACAGTAGTTCAAATTATTAATAGACATTGGTCAATTTACTACAACAGTAGTTCAAATTTTTATGAAACTAAAATTTTCGCTTTTACCCCATAGTTTCAAGGCAACTGTTAGTTTTGCAATGTAATTGTAATGACATATGTGTGAGAGTCTGCTTTGTTTCTATTTAAAACCATTGGTAGAATAGTTGATTAATGATGTAAAATTGTATTAAAAATTTATACAAACCCCACTGAAAACGAGCCGAAAATACACTGAATTTAAGTTTAGTATTACAATTAGAAAGGCGATATAAACGATGCTTTATGTGCTTTAAGATAACTTCTAAATGCGCTTTTTAAGTTATAAACAAATTCCAATAATTCATCTTTTTATACTCCCGCACCAGTAATGGCTGTTCTACACGCTCAAGATCTGCTACACACAATACACTAAATCACAACACCATGTTATTAAAAAAGATTGTCTATATGTCAAAAAAATTTTCATTTATCAAGTAAATGATTTACTTCGAGAGAATAAAATGACTGCTTTCAGAAACTCTTAGAGAAAGAAAACTAATCTTGTGCTTGACTTAACTTTGGTACAGCTTTCTCAATAATATCTATTCGCATTTCTTTTTGAAAGTAAAAACGTGTTCCTATGAATATTCAGAACTTTTACGAAAAATGAATCCCCAGATTAGCCAATATAATTTTATAAATCTTATAAACAATGAAAAGATGTACAAAAAGGTGTGGATGACTGCTCATGGCAGTCATCAAGGTTGTGCACTTGAATCAAACACTTAAAAACACCGCCTATAATGTGAATGTCTTACTGGAAAATATCCCCCATGCTGTTCCATCAGAATGTTTCGAAAAAGCTCTTCGGCATTACCAATGAATAAAATCAGATTTTCTCCTCTCTCCCTTTTAAGCACCATCATTTTTAACTAAAAATTTAAAAACCTTATTTATTTTTAACTATTCAGCCGGATCTCTCTTATCTTGTCTCAGCGGTTCCCACCGTTCGAAACTATTTTGGAAAGAGGAGGAAGGTCCGGATCAAATATCAAAAATATGTCAACACTACATGAAGGAGTTTGAAGAAGATAAAGACACTTGTTTAAATTGCATTTCTTAAAATTAAAACTCTGTTAATTTTAAAATTTGAAAAACTTGGGTACCAAATAAACACTCGATTTGAACACTGGTGATATAACACTTTAAGATCAATATATGATAAACATATATCTTTTCCTTTACTGGTCACATTAAAATAGCTGGTATAGGCCTTTCTCGTTTGGAGCATGTTCGACCGTTATTAATTTTTTTACCATCGACCCCAACATTACAAGAAATCTATCAGAGTTAATAAGTTGACTATGAATTCAAGAATTCTGTTGTTTGCCATATCGGACCATTGAAATACCATATTATCACATTTCTCATACAGTTAGAAGATATACGTAAAGCAACTGCTTAAAAAAATAAAAAAAAGGTTTCTTTGGGCAGCATGAACTCCAACAAAATAATTTTTGACTTAATCAAAGCCAGTAATGAAAAGAATAGTTAAGGAGTGACGTTATTTCTTAGTGCCGAAAAGATATCAAAGGAAAGATATGATATGAGGGAAATACTACAATGTACATATAAGGTCGATATAAATGATACCGCAAAGTATTACAATTATTACAATGAAACAATAAAAAAAAGCAAAATTTAAAAGAGAAATGACATACTTCGCATCGAGCATGAAGCTTCTCGATATCAAGGCTATCGGTTGAGATGATCGAAGGATCCAGTGCCATGCTTGAGAATAGGCTTGTATCCTCTTCATCCGTTGACCTTTGAAAATCGAGCTGTGCGATATGTTGATCAATGTCAGCTGGCCACTGTGATTCCAAATTTTGATCCACTAATTTGAGCTCACATAGCTCGACCATTTTATTCTTTTTACTAATTACAACTAGATAGCGACACTCCACCAACTTCTTATTCCAACAATGATTAGGTCTTTTAAATTTCAATAATCAATCGCGTAAATTCCTCAAATCACAGGTTATCCCGTTGAGCTCTAGAAACAGCTCATAATGTAATACTTCGGGATGAGATCGATCGATCGAGTCAAGTCGAGTCGGATCGGACTGGGACAAGTATGGGTCTGTCGAACCGAGTTAAGTCCAACGAATAACGTGTAACGCGTTCGTATTCTCAGCCGCACCAACAACACCGCACCAAACAGCAAATATGTACCCGGCCGCAACAACACTTCTCTCTATCTCTGCTTCCTTTTTTGCTGATACTGATATATCTGAGAACTCTTTCTCTTTTCTCCCTTTTCTCTATTGATATATCTCTATGATCATCTTTCGCATTGCATTATTTGAGAGAGTAGTAAATTGTAAGCTAAGCAGGATATATTGATTGTCGATATTGAAAGATTGTGAAGGGATGTAGGCCTGCTATGCAAGGCTTTACAACGATTTTTGGCCAACGTGGCACGTATATATTTGACTAACAAATATATATGCGCAGTAATATGGAAGGATCAAAAAAGGCGTTATTATCCTTTAGTGACGATAAGAGGAGAGGAATATTCCGATATCTTAGAAGAGGAGGAAAAACCCCTGAGCGAATATGTTAATATTAACTTCCCGGGATAAATTCCTGGAATATTCTTTACTTCAAGTCAAGTTATTGCATTCCCTCAACATTGTGAGATTGGCATGTTAGGAAGAAATAGTGTGGAGACATTGAATTAATGAGCCGCACAATTATAATCTAACAGATATGATATTATCTAATAGATCATGTCCGTAAGGTTCACTGAAATAGCTGCAAATCGAAAACAACGATAAATTATAGTGTTCAGAGTATGAATTTTTAAGAATATATTCAGACTTTCTGACCAGATAATCATAAAGAAGGCAGAATCCAAGGGATACATGTTAGCTTGATAGAATTAAAAGTAGCATATTTCCTCTCACATCTTAGAAGCTTTTGTTTGTGAGGTTTTTTGAGAAAACCATAATGTAATGTAAAATGATGTGACTGTCTTTTGCATATCTTTGTCACATATAATTACAATATTCCAAATATATTGGATATGAATTGTTAGAAAACATTGTGATATATATTTAAAATAGTAAATTTTTTTAAAAAGAAGGCTTCATTTTATCAAGCAACGCCTGAATTATCATTACATTCAATAAAGATATCATAGTGACGAACAATCATTTTGGAAATTTTAGACCAAAAGCTATTCATGAGAGAAGAGACTGAGTCCAATAACTGCAACCGCAGTATATAGTCCGTGTATAGTTTAAATTCAAATTATACGAAGATAGGATGGATGACTCATATTACTAATAGCATTGTTGGAAACTTGAAGTAAAAGTAACAAACCGGAAATTAGAGTTATTTTCTTATAATATTGATCGTAATAAAATACGGAACATTTTTGTAAAATGTTGTAAGATAGTGATTTCTAAAGCATGCAAATGAAAAACAAATAAAATTTTAATGTAATGGAATTGGACAATCTTATTTCTCTGACTAAGAACAATTGAGAAAAAGAATCCTATTGCTTTATTTTGTGATTAATTGCTTTTTTGTGGTTAATTTGCCTCCATGAGATTAATTGCTTCATTTTATTAAGTGGGTAAATTGATGGAATAATCTTTGCGCATCCATCCTTGTACAGGGAATTGTTGTGTCGTCCATATGCTCTTTGAAGGAGTTATTGCGCATCAACTGAAGTGATGGAATGATAGTAATGGAAAAGAAGTGCAACATAAATGATTTCATTTTGAGAATAGGATAAAAAAATGCTACTACTTCAGTAGAAGAAGAATGATAGAAGCTGTCAGATATATATTATCATTATCAGGTAGGCGGAAATGTAATACGCCTAAGTTATTACAAAAAAAATTAGGATGAAATGAAAAGTGTTAGTATTAGCTGTGATTTAGATGAAAATACATTTTATAGTAAGCATTATTTTAATGAGATGGATAAAATCACAAATTTAACAATTTTCAATTTCAAATCAATTTTGAATTTTTGCCAAGTAATCTGTATCGTAAAGGTTGGAGCTAAATGTTAAGTAAAATTGTAATCAGTGGGAAATTAGGTCGAAATAAAAGCATTACTGAGGAATTTCGGGATTAGGAATTCAAGAATCGAAGAAATATACTTTTCTTTTTTAGAGGAAGAATAATGAAATGAACAAAATTGAAGGAGAAGGATGTGATTCATTCTACCTTGCTCTTCCTTATTCGCAATGGCTTACGAAGAAATATGAGACAAGAAAGCTTAACAGGGATTTCAGTTAATCTCGAAGTACTTGAAACGAATTCAATCTTTACAATCTTAAAATGTACAATATATGAAAATATTATGACCATGATGGAAAATATTTTTTGTATCCTTCGAAAGGAGAAAGAGAAGTACTTTGAACGAGAGGAAATCTCTCTGTTCAAAACAAAATTTAAGAAATTAAAAGATGTAAGAACAGTTTAACACAATACTTCACATAAATACTGTAAAGTGAGGGAAACTGCAGCATTTTCTAATTTAATTAACAAATTATCATTACTCTTCATGACTATCCAGAAAATAATAATAA